TAAAAAATTATTAGGTATGTTTAATTTGGAGTGCTTATTTGTGATCTTTAAGTTTTACACAGTAATTTTCGATATATACTTAAGCTTTGTTGAATATAACTTGCCATATTGAGCAAATTATAATTCATTGGTAATTTCGAACAGCAAAATTCCTGAACAAAATATGTGGAGTTCTTCAAGTTTGATTTTCAAAAAAATTCATTGAATATTTGTGTTGAAAAATTTGTTATTATTTCATCAATTATTTCAATTCAATTACAATTTTCAATTAAGCAATAAACGATTAAATTACGTAAACGTAATTTTTACTTAATAATATTTATTTGGCATTGAAGAACTCTTCTATATCCTATAAAATTCATATTCTGTTATTCATTTGCAGTTCTGCATTTTTGCAATATTACCTTATTATATTCAGAAAATTTGTCGGGAGTAAATCGTATAAAGCGTGTGTTCATTATTCTGATAATATCGAAATAATTTTTCACGTGTCTTAAATTTTTTTTTTAATTTTAATATATTTGACCTGTACGTGCACTTTTATATGCACTTTTGCTATTTGTATAAATTTTTCTGCTCTATTAAGAATTTAAGGATACTCTTATATATGCTAACATATTTTTAAGGAACTGTGTACTAGGTATAATATTTTCGAACATAATTTTTTAACGTAGTTTCTAAAGTATATGATAAAATTTATACATATTTGTATACATACTCGTATTATTGTTGGATTTCAAGTTTATATAAGGAAGACTCAATTTACGTGAATGAAAAAAAAAAATTTTTTTTACATTTAAGCAGAGAACACATTTAGAAGGAGAATCGTCAAAATTGTATGATTTTAATGAAAAAAAAATAGGATAATAAGAAAAAAAATGTTGAACAGAAAAATTATTCAAGTATCTTTTGAAAAATATTGTGTTTAGTTTTCGCTTCAATTTGAAAATAAACCAAAAGTTTTATCCTATTGAGTGGAAGAAGTTGTTAGTCATAGTACAACACTTTTTTTCTTTTTTTTTATTCTGCATAATCAATGACTTGATCTTGATCTTAGTAGAAACTCACTTGTTCGATAAGAAGTTTCTTTCTTTTGATTACCAAATGATTACAAACTTTAAATATTTTGATTCGACAATGGTAAAGCCCGACATGTATAGAGAATTTTCATCTTATACAATTGCAAAAATTTAAGACGACTTAAAAACAATGATGGACTGTTCTGAACATACAAACAAAAATAAAATATAACATCCTCTGTGCCAAAAATATTTCTATAACTTTGTCACCTACATTTTTCTTTGCTTACCTTGTAGCACTTTCCTCAATTATTATTACCATATACAAAGAAATATTTGAAATTATTCCTTTCCTATATAAAAATTATTAAAAAAAATGTGGTTTTTAGCTCGACTTTGATTGCCGCCTAAAAATTAATGGACAACATATAATACATGAGAAATTTTATCAAATCTAAGACATAAAATTGGTATAAATTGAAAAATTGCCGCGACTGATTTGAGAAAACCGTCCACTATTTCAATATTTCGTAGTATTAAATTAAAGAAAACTAAGAAAATTTTGAATATACGCGTTACGTGATTTGAATCAAAATATATAGAGAAATATTTTGCGCTTTCAATAACAAGTCTAGTTAGTAAACTAACAATTTTGAGATGTTACGGGGTTATTTTTAATGTACGAGGTGCTAGCCATCATTTTTAAGGAAAAAAACGTCTTTTTTTTGGAAAAGTGTTACTTTAGAAACCGTTTTTTCCATTCGAATTTATTATAATTTCCCTTTCCTAACTATTACGATTCTCATCTATTAAATATTTGCAAAATTACAATTAGACTGAATATTAGAGCTTATGATATCAATCAAAGTCAATCATTATCAGTTCAGCTTAAAATTGCAAATTATTTCAAGTAAATAATTTTTAATCAATTTTTTTGATAAAATTTTTTTTTTATTCAAATTAAGTAGCTACTTTTTTTCACCTTTTCAATTAGTATAATTGAATTTAAATTACAAAAAAAAAAATTGAGTTGAAATTGAATTTTTTAAATTTTTAACTTATGCATTTGGTATACATATATGGAAACCTAACCTAATTTTTTTTAATATTTATGTAAAGAGAGGCCAAAAGCATTGAGTAAATACGATACAAAATGTATAAAAAGGAAAATTATACGGGCTTACATGTTCTAAATTTTAATTTTATTTTTTTTTTTTCCATATATTCGTTTCGAATTTATTATTTCTTACTTTTTTTTTATACAATTGAATTCTGAATTTAAAAAATAAAATTGTATATGTAAAATTATAGTAAAAAAGAACAAAATGAAAGAAACAATAATGATAATAATAATAACAATAAAGGAACTGGAATAAAAGGATAAAAGAAAAATATAAATAAAAAAGAAAACTAAAAACAATTTAAGAATAAAGGTGTAAATTATACGAATCATATATCATAAAGTTTTAAAATTGTATACTTACATATATATACACACACACATGACATAAACATATTATGTATGACGTTTACATTCGAAATAAGGTTATTTCAGTTCAACGTGTTTTGAAAAAGGATATTTTGTTAGAATTAAATAAGGAAAAATATTTAATAATTTTCCCGATTAGCTTCTAACTTCTTGGAAATTCATATTTTTAATAAATATTACTCTTAATCAAAACAAGTAAATGAGAAAAATTCAATGATATCGAAAGTAGAGATTATGATGATTTCAAAAAATTATTCTATTTCATTTGTTGCAGCAACAAATTCAGTCCCGTATTGCTACGTTTTGTAGCAATACTAAGTATTACCAGAATTTTGAAAACATGCAAAGCATGTTTAATACTAAAAGCTAGATGATACTTTAAATTCATTTATTTTAAAATTTTTTCTTTTAATTAAATGAGTCTAAGAAAAATTGGAATAGTTTAAAGCAATAATGGAAAATTTAATTAACGTAATTACTGCGTTATAGGTTAACATCAATCTATTTGAAAAATTTTGCAATTCTTTTAAATGAATCCTACAATTCTTGTAATTGTAATGTACTTAAAATTTTGTTAACGTGTAATTCATAATTTTTAATCCATTTTAAATTAATTCTAATTGAGTGCGAAATATATGTAGGGTAAGACATTTTATCTCTTGTCTGTGACTATATTATTTGAAAATTTTAGTAAATCGCAAAGGTTTTTTAAAACATAATTTTGAAATCGTTATAAATTTTCATTTAAGATAGTTACCCACAATGTAAGCGATAAAGTTGCACAGAGAGATATGAGTGATTTTAAATATTTCACTTGAGACATTAAAACGAATCTCTTTAAATTTATTTTATATTATTTAGTGTTTTCTAAAAGTAAAAAATTTTAAAAATAATAGCCCAAGTAAAAAGTATTAAATTTTGCGCTTATACCCTGTTCTTATACTTACGAGAAAAAAATGTTCCCTTTACTCTCTAATGTATAACAATCTTCCAAATATTTTTTTAAAATACCCTCGGGAATATAAAATTATTCTTAAAATATATAAATATAGAAAATTTTAGTACAAGAATGAAAAAATGTACACGCAAAATTTTGTATATAAATTTATTTATTTGGAATGTTTTACTTATTTATGGAATTTATATGTAAAATTAATTCAATTCACTTTAAAATATACATATGTATACGTATGTGTATACATTAATTTGATTTATAAAGTAAAGTATACCGTAAATGCTAAGTAATTCTTATGTTGTTTTCTTTAAAAATGTTTATAGAAACAAATTCAAATTCTTAGAAAAAAAAAATTTTTTTTAATAAGTACCACCAAATGCTTTTATAGTAATTTGCTTTATAAAATGAAAAAAAATATTATTATATAGAGTGTGATTAAAATGATAAAAAAAAATTGAATAAAATTTGGATTAAAAATATTATTTTCAATCTTAATATGGCTCTGCTCTGCTTATAAAAACTGCTCGTGTTTATTGCTAAATTTTAATTTATAAAGAAAACGGAAAACTTAAATAAAATTCGAATTTAAAATTTAATTGCAATTAGTCTTAAATTTTTCCCTCGTTTTTTTTAATCAAATATTTAGATATATTTTCTTTATTTGCTTGAACTCGATTTGGAACAAAATTTTAAAATGCGGTTATAGCAGGCTATTTTCTATGTCTAAAGAACTAAATAGTGTCAACAAGAAAATTTTGTAGAACAAATATTTTTAAAACTACTATACTCCTTTATATATAAGCTAGTGTAGTCGGAAATATTTATACACTGTATGGTGTATAAGTGTGGAATGTCATGATACCCTCATATAATAACGTAAAGCATTAATTTGACATTATTATCAAACATCAAGTTCAACTTAATAATTTTAAAATAAATAATATTAAAATTGTATATATACCAGAAATCATGGATTATTATTAAATAAATTTATAATATAAATATTAAATATAATTTATTTCAACACATGAATTCACAATTTTTATTTATTTCAAAGTTTCAAGCTATTTATTATTTCTAGGAAAATTGCATATTTTTAGGATTCTTTTATAAATGTCACAATACCGCAAATTAATTTATTGCTAAATTTGTTAATAATTTTTGATTTATTAAAATTTTTTTTTTTTAAATGCTTGGATATTTTAAAAATTTTTAAATTATTTTAAATTTTATTAAAATTTTAAATGTTATTTAATTAATTTTCAAATATTTTTAAAAAATCACTTTTTATATTAACTTCTAAATGTTATATAATTTATATTAATCTATATATGTATGTATATGTTTATTCAGATTTATTTTGTTGTTCTATAAAAGTCACATAATATAATTTTATTTTCAAATTATTGCTATATTGTATATAGCTATCACCCTACACAAATTCGTACCAAATATATTGTATTAAATAAATAATTATTTTAAATTCTGTTACTTATCTATATTTTATTTTTCTTTTCTTTTTCATTTTCTTAAACAGTCAGTACAGTTGATTTTGAATACGATTACGAATATATTGATGCTGATATGGATGATCGTGATAGCTTGTATTATGATACCATTTCAATAGGTGGTCAATCATCAGAACCTGGAAATAATCGACGTTCATTATCATTATCAAGACAAACAATTTATCATTCAGCTGTTGATTTACCATCAGATCCAAATCAAAATAATTCAACACCAATAAAAAATCAATTATTATATGATCAAAATAAAAATAATCATTTATCACAACCTCATTTACATAATTATTTAAGTAATAATAATAGTAATATAACAGCATCTGGTACAATAACAACTGGAACAAATAGATCTGATTTATTATCTGGTCATAATACTGCCAATTATAGTGGAATACATTTATCATATGGTGGTGGTAGTGGTATAAATAATCGTAATTCAGCACCACCAAATACATATTTTAGTAGACAATCAACATATTTAGATGTCATTAATGATTATGCAGATGGACCAAGTTTAACTGGTGGTGGACCACCAGGTGGACATTCAGATGAGGTGTCTGCAAGACTTTTAAACGATAATAGTTTAACTAAAAAATTGCCAATTACGTACTCCCAATGGAAAACTAGGGTAGGGTAAAATATAAAAAAAAAAAAAAGTTGAAAAAAAAAAAACAGAACACACAAAAATAACAAAAATTTTTGTTAGATTGCAATGTAAAATTTTTAACTCTAGAGAATATGAGAGCAAATTAATTGTAAACAAATACTTATATAATTTATTAACAAAATTTAACTAAAATGAAGTATACTGACACAATTTGAGTGATATAGAATCGCTATACCAAAGAAATGACAGCTTAAAAAATTGCTTTTTAAATAATTTTTTATTTTGGTATTTTTTATATTTTTGGCTTTTTATCAAATTTTATTTAGTTTTTTATTTGTAGTTTTTAATTAAATTTCATTTGCTGCTTCAATTTTATTTTTATTTACGCTATATAAACAATTTAATTTTTGCTCTATAACTATGTATGTAAAATGTAACTTTCTGGCTTCAAACCCTTATGTATTTTGTATATTTTCCAACTTATTAAATTTTAAATGGTATTTAGTAACAAATAATAAAACTAATCTTATTGCAAATTCAAAATTTATAGCTTAGATTTACAATAACGATTTTATTATCTCTTATAATATTATTAAGGAATTCTGTATACAAGGCTTTATTATAAAAAATTTTTTTTGAAGGTCAATAATCTGATTAATATTTATTATTTCTACAATTGCTTTATCTAAGTTCACAACCTAGAACTATTCAAATAATATTGTTGATAATAACTTTTCGCTATTTTTCTTAAAGCTTACTAAATATTGCCTATTTTTAGGGTGCATACAATTTTTGTTTTGTAGGAAAGATGAAGAGTTCTTTTTTTGCTTTATCTGCAATTCTACAAGTTTTTTTTAAAGCATTTTTTTTTTGAAACAGATGTAAGAATATTTATATTGGATTTAATGAAAGCATTCAAAATTTCAATAATTTTTATTAGTTTTATTTCAATACATGATACAATAAGAAATAAATTCGAAAAATAGACAAAATCTTGCGGAAAAGCTCTTAATTCAATATTATATGTTATTAACTATAATTAATGCATAAATAAATTTTCGCCAAATATAATTTTAAATAGATTAACATTTTCCGAAAAAAAACCAACATTTTAAATTAGAATAATGAAATTTACTTTGCTAAAATAATCCAACATAATCACATAGATTCATTGAATGTCTTCTTCAATTAAATTTAAGGTTAAAAATTTATTTTACTTATATATAGACATTCTACCGGAAATTACACTTTAGTTTTTTTTTAAAGTTTTATACAAAATATTTAATATTATCAACCATGACCTATTTATTTTTGAAAATATAAAATAATATTTGCTATATAATTTCATAAATTTTATAAATATAAAAAAAAAAAAACTATATCTTATTAAAGTTTTACGCTTGATGACAATCTTGATCCTGCACAATATTTTTCATTCATTAATGAATTTATCAATATGTATGTACTTTCAACTTAAGTTCATATTCTTGATAATAAACATACATAAGCAAGTTTGTTTTCGAATATTTTTATACATGGTATAGTAGAAAAACCAATTATTTCTTTTTTGCAATTATTTTTCACAAAAATTAAATTTAAGCAATATATTTGCTATATTATGCATTCAATAGTACAGAAAAATAGTGATAAAGAATATATTTTTCAGTTTTATATAAATTTATTGGAACAAGCTATTTTAAATACGTCATAAGAAATTGAAATAAAATATAGAAAAGACCTAGGCAAGAATGTAAGCCTGGTTCGTGAAAGATAAAACTAGGCAACTCGTGTTCATTCGGATTTAAAAAACTCTTTCCGATTCTGAACAGAATCGGCTTTGAACTTTAGTGTTGAACTTCGGTACTTTAAAATTTATATACTACTTCAATAAATCATGCTACCGTATTAAACGTTTACCACAAAAAAATATGTTTAGGCTTGCATTTTTTTCATTCTGGTAATGATATCATTCAAAAATATAGGTAATGGCAACACTTAATATTAGCAGAATAAATTGCATTTTTTTTAAATAATTTTAAACATTCAGTCGAATTCGTTCAATGCTATTGCATTTCTTCTTAAAATATTTTTAATTACATAATAAATATATTACCATTCTTTTATAAACTTTTATCATAATATCTTTGTAACAATTCTTTATTCTATCTTTATATTACGATTTTAAACTTTAAAATTTTTGTTGTTCAGATAATTTAAAAAAAAAAAATGTTACTTCAAAATTTTAAAGTAAAATCTATATTGGATATTAAGAGAAACTATAAAATTAACAAGCAATGTTTAAAAAATATTAACATGTTTTAATTTATTTGACATTACTGATTAAATGCGGGATTATGACATTTTTTATTGCAAAGTGTTTACATGGTATCAAATTAACTTGTATTCTGAAATGTATGCTGACGTAAGGTGTAATCGATAATATTAAATGCCGGACGGCAACAACAATTGCATCTGACGGTTACCAATCGACAATCAGTATTTTTATGCTAAAAAAACTTTTGCATATGAACTTTTATATGCAATTTTTGCATGCAATCGGTTGAAAACTGCTTTAGCAAAAAATAATTTTTGAAAGTTTGAATTGAAAATTTGACTTAAAAGATATTTCTTTAAACAAGTTTACTTATCCTCTTAAAAATTTTTAATTTTGCACAAAAAAACAAAATCGGCGGTTAAAATTTTTTTATTACAAAAATGTCAAGAAATTTTAATAATATCGACAGACAATTGACTTTATTAAACACACAACATTTTTGTTTTTTTGTATAGTTCTTTAAATGTAGACATCTGTTGACAATACTGAAAGTTACAATACTTTTGTTAACTGTAATATCGATTAAGATGCAACCGAATTTAATGCATATTTTACATTATCGATTACACCTGTATTTATATAGTGTAAATTATGTGAAAATTTTGAGAATTTTTTTATCCTAAAAATGTTGTATTCCGAATTTTAAACAAGTTCCGAATTTTAATAAAGCAAATTATTGCATGTAATTAATTTTATACAATCCAATATAGATCTATAATAAAAATTTTTCTATACAACAAATATCACTTTTTTTATTGTGTGTATAAAATTTTAAGTCTCAATTTTATAATTTTCGAATGTATTAAATTTTTTTAACTATAAAAAAATCGTAAATTTTCATACTATACATAAAAAAGAAAACTGTAATTTATTTTTTTTTGTATAATTTTATTAATTGTTAATTTTTATAAAATAAAGCGCTCCTTTCTTCTTAATTTCCAGAAAAAAAAATCTTTATTTTTTACTTTCAATTTTAATTTTGACACTTTCAACAACATAAAGACTGCATATAACAAAATCATATGTTTTAATCAAAATGATAATTGAAGTCCCTATGAATTTCAAAAAAAAAAAAACCATAATACAGCTTAGATGGGAATGGGTAATGGCAATTTTTTTGCATTTTTTTATTTTTATTATACTAACCTAAACAAATATATTATATAAAAAAATATTTCATATTATAAACATATACATATAATTTATTACAAATTTTATTCATTAATTATCATTTAATACAAAATATATTGCGGTTGAAATTGAAACGATATCAGTCATTCACAATAGCAATCGATTGAAAATTGAATCAATTATTTAAATTCTATTAATGATAGCCGCGCGACGTCAATTAAGAGAAATTTTTTTATAAATTTTAAAATTTTTTTATATCATTTCCCTTTTTAACCGTAATATAATTTATGAATTACCTATTATTCTGACTTAAAAATTACAGTAAAATACTGCATTAATAAAAAATTCAGCTTATGATTTGTAAATTCTGAATTATTTTTGTTAATAATAAAATTATAACTGCAATTTTGAAGTCAGGATTATTATATACAAACATTTATTTTTTATTTTTTTTTTTTCATTTATGTTTAAATTTTTTTGATTGCATTTTTACAAAATTTAACATACACTTTCAATATAAAATGAGTGTTTAAAAATTTCAATTGAAAAATAATATTTGAATATTTTTATGAACTTTATACTAATAAGTATTTGTATCATGTTACATTCTCATAATTGTGTATATATTTTGTTGAATCTTTGAGTCTACCCAATACAGATGTAATATCAACTTGATGCATTCAGGAATGCGATTTCAATTGCTGAACAAAGTGAAATTTAGCTAATTACTTGTGACTTCTATATAATGAAGAATAACTGCGCAATGCAAACGAAAACTGAAATTTTTATATGGAAAATTTTAGGTTATGTAATTTTTTTAAATTATACTTGCCTGTACTTATTAATTATTAATTTTTGGCAGCATTGAAGACTTCATAAATTGAAGTTCGTACTCAACTTATGATGATATTAAAAATTTGAAAAACATTAACCTTAATAATATATTCGTAAGTTGCTAACAAAGAAAACTGTAAAATAATTCTGCATTCTAATAACGCAAGCATTAAATTCCGCTTCTATAATGACGTATTTCCATTTAAATTTTTTTCATTATGCAAGAAATAAAAAAAAAAATTATAATGCATAATAAAGGTAGTTAATACGATTTATTTTCAAACGGTAACACTAAAAGCTTTAAAATTTATTTAATACAACTCTATAATTCTATTACATTTATTATTCAATACAGATCTTCAGAAAAGGTCACTAACATTACATTGAACTACCTTTAGATTGAATGCCTAGTCTGAGCTTTTATATAAAAACATATGTAAAAAAAAGACACACATATACATTTACTATTTTAAATTACTTTTGCATATTACAACGATGCTTAAGCGACAAAATCAACAACTACTTAGTATGGGTGAAATTTTTACACAGTTATATAACTTAAGTATATACTGCATTGTTTATTATTACATATTTGTACAATAAATCTTCAATAAATACATGCATACACTCTTATATGCATGAAATTTATACGTCCATTGCCTTTTACACATTTTTCATTTTCAATTTCTTAATATTTCTTCTCTTTTCTTTTCAAAATTCC